AGCAACACCGAAAATACATTCATATATTTAGTCCCTATATTTGACCACTTATCACCAAATTAGTCTATATTTATTTTGGTTTTATCAAATAAATTTCTACATGATTGAGCAACATCAGAATATACTATCAATTTAGTTTTTGAGTTTGATCACTAATTATCAAATAGATCTATGTCTTTATCTAATTTATATTAAATAAGAATGCTCCCCTAAGCGTAACTAGGAGCGTAGCCTACAGAACTGTCATCAATGGAACTCCTGGGATAATATCTTCCTTTGAAGACCTTCTCCACTTGACCAGACACGGTTTCGTACTCCTTAAGAATGGACATAATGCGATAAGTTTCACCCGAATTGGCTCTTGCAAAAAGAAGACAATCATCTGCGAAAAAATGTGAGAAATCACAGGGGCCCTTCTTGCTACTTGAATGCCATGGATCCTCCTTTGACGGACATCATGCTTCAATAAACCTGAAAGAACATCAGCACACAGGATAAATAAATAGGGTAAAAGAGGTTCTCCTTGACAAATTCCTTTCTCCGGAAGAAAACTTGAACTGGTCTAGCCATTTACGAGGACTTTGTAAGAAACCTTAGAGATACAATTTCTGATGAGGTTAACCATAGACTATGGAAATCTCATCGAGGAAATAAATTCGGTGACAAAAGGCCATTCCAACCTGTCATACGCTTTTGACATATCAAGCTTGATATCCATAACTCCCTTTTTTCCTTTGGTCTTCTTCTTCATCCAATGGAAACACTCCATAGCCACCAGTTATCAGTAACGAGACGACCTTGAACAAAAGCACTTTGCTCCTTATCAACTATATCAGGAAGAATATGCTTGATCCTATTGGTGGTCTCCTTAGTAACCATTACATAAGCTGATGGGCCTGAAATCCTTGGGGCTAGCTAGGTTTTTACACTTACGGATTAACATTATATGAGTGTCATTTATCAAACCAGGGCTCCTATTGTTCTTCAGAACCTCCAACGCCAAGTTTCACACCTCAGTTCCAACTATGTGCCAATATTTTTGGAAGAAAGAGCCAGCAAACTATCCGGACCTGGGGCCTTGAAGGGATTCATCTGGAATAGCGCCTCTTTCACCTCCTTAGGGGTGAACCTCGTTGCACACTAGTTAACATGATCAGAGTTCAGTTTACCCTTCACAACAGAACAAGCATCGTCCATGTTAACTGGGTTAGTGGAAGAGAGCAGATCCAAAAAGTAATTCGCAAGCAGTCTTTCACAATGCTCATCTCCGTGCCGCCAAAATCCATTCTCATCTGTGAGCTTTTTTATGGCATTTTTTGTTTCCTTTGACTAGCTTTACAGTGGAAAAATTTTGTGTTCTTGTCCCCGTGTTTGAGTCAGAGAGCCCTGCTTCTTTGTCTCCAAACTACCCCATCCACTTAAAGTAACTTGTCTCTTTGACTCTCAAGAGCCCTTAAGGAGTTTATCTCTAACTGTCCCCTCATTCTAAAGGTTATCCTCCTTCAAAAGATCTTCGACTCTCCTTAGCTCCTTTTTCACAGCCCCTATATTATACTCCTTAAAAACCTCTTCTAACCCTTGCATCGCATTGAGTTTGTTATAACCTCTCAAAGCAGGGTTATTCTACAGTTGATCCACAAAATCTTCACATCTTGGATCCCTACTCCACACCTCCTCAAATCTGAAAATATGTCTCCTCCTCCTGATTTTGTTACTAAAATCATCTTCCAAAATAACTCTGACAGCCGCATGATCAGAACCATAGTGGGAGAGATGACTCACCCTAATGGGGGAAAACCTATTGATGAAGCTCTCTGAGGCAAGACATCTATCCAACCTATATTGAACATTATCACTACCCTGCCTCCCATTTGTCCAGGTAAAAGGGTAGCCCTCAAAACCCAAGTCAAGTAAGCCACAAGAATTTAAAGTTTGGCGACCCCAAGAGAATTGGCTCGCGGATCTACTAATGCCTCCCCTATTCTCATTATCAAACATAATATCATTCAAGTCCCCAAAGCAGATGAATTTATCACTACCACTCCTAACCATCTCATGAATTAAGCTCCAAGTCCTCTTGTTTTTTTCTTCCTGGAAACTGTAAATCTCATTGAAATTTCAGACCTGATTCTCGCAAACATCAAACACAGTTCCCCCTATATGATTTAGGGAGAAAGAAAGGATATTAATTTGAGAAGTCTCCTTCCAAAGGAGAATAAGCCCCTCAGCTCTCTCTATCAGAACCATTGCAGTCCACCACATGACAACCCTCGTAACCACTTTTGAATTTGATACTCATCACTTCTTCAACCTTGAGCCTCGTTTCCATGATAAACATTACATCGGAATTTTCAATATGGGTGAGCCTTAGTACGACTCAAACTACACGGGGATTTCCTAACCCCCATACAGTTCCAATTGATAATTTTCATTGGAGTAGACGATGTTGGTCTTCCAACACCACCTCTGGTGATAGGAACTTCCTTCAAACCCACTAGACTCCTCTTTTTTTCTCCATTCCCGCCTCCCTCTGCATAGTCTTCAACAATCATAACCTCCACAAGTTGTCTTTTGTCAAACTCAAGCTCCAACTTCTACTCTTGAATTGGGTTTCCTTTTCTGATAGGTTGCCTACGTGTCCATTCCTTTCTCTTCACACTAGCACCCTTGGTGGAAACTTCCTTTCCTTTTCCCACATTTGAGATGTCAATTGCCCCAAGAGATTCAGCTACAGCTTCGATCTCAAGGGATTTGTTGTTTTCCGCTGGTTCCTCTACCTTTTTAGGTACCTCCAACTGCATATTACTACTCGAGAATCCCCTATGCTGCTCAACCTCCCATTTTCCATCTTTCTTCTTACCTTTGGACTCACACTTGCTTTGTTCTGAAGATATGTTAAAAAGGCTCTTGCTACAGAAACTAGAGTTTGACTCCTTCTTCTTCTGTTCTTCTTGGATTCTAGGTAGAGGCGAAGCTCTTAACCAGAGTCCAAAAGATAAGTCTTGCTTCTCCAAATTTTCACACCCCTCTTCATTGAGGTTCCCAACCGCCTCACAGTCCTTAAGTTGATGCCTTAATCTTTCCCTATGTTAATAGAAAGGTTTCCCGTAAAAAAAAAATAGAGAGATCTAATTGTACGTGACTAATTTAAAATATTAATAGAGTATGATATATATTTTAATGTATTTTATGAATATATGGATTAATTTAATAGGCACGTTGACACTGTTAACATCGTTAAATTGCATGCATCAGTATTTTAAAAATCAGACTGGTCATCGAATTGGTGAGGATATTAGATCACTGGTTTATCGGTCGAACCATTGGGTCACTGGTCGAACCGCATGATCAAACTAGATTAAATCGGATAACTCGGTTGAATAGACCTGTCATTATATAGATATAAAACTGGTCGAACCAGATGATTCAGTTTTTAAAAAAGTATAACCAATACTTAAATTTTTTGAAAATATCATATCATAAATTCACAAGTTCATAATTTAAATTCAAATTTTAAACAAATGTATCACACATAACAAAATAATACAAAATTACAAAATCTAAGTGCAAACAAAGTCTAATTGCAATGGTTTCCCCATCAATGATATCATTTATTGATTATTATGAAATAAGAAGTAACTATTTGTAAGTAAAATATGATTCTCTTAAAAAAAACAAATAAAATTTAATATGTTTATGTTATTTCACTTTCTCTTTCAATAAAATACATGTATTTTTCTATTGTTAATATTTTAACATTAAATATAATTAATTATAAATTATAATTATTTGACATTAAATATAATTAATTATAAATTATAATTAATTAAAATTATTAGCAGTGATAAAATATATAACAATCTAAAAAATTAAAATAATAAAGTAACTAATTTGTTAATAACCATTACAAACTATTTAAGAAAATGTATTAGCAAAAATAACAAATAGCCAATAAAGTTTGTAATTTGTCACTAACGAAAAATTTGTATGTGAGAATGTTATTTAAGTAATACACTACTAAGTTTATTTTAAAAAAAAGTTTAAAAAATATTTTTTTTTAAAATAAAAGTGAAAAAAAATATATTAAACCGCCGATTTTTTCGATTTTCTCTGGTTCGCACCGGTTCAATGACGAGGCCGATCCGTCAAGTAAATCAGATCAGCTAGTGTCCCAGTTCTCGGTCCGACCGGCCGGTCCGGTTTTCAAAACCCTGGCATGAACTAATAGTTAAATTAAAATTTAAAAAAAAATGTGTGACATAAACAAATACTAAATTAAAATATTAATAGAGTAAAAACATGTTTGAGAGCGTTTTACATAAATAATGACTAACTTGATGGTTTACACTCTTATTTAGTCTTTGCTAAACTAAGTGTGCATGTGCAAGCACTTGATGAAAATGGTGAATGACATTTACCTAATAAAGTTTGAACTTTCTATTGAATATTAGATATAATATTAATTACAAATAAAAATAAGTGATTTATCATGTTGTATTTGTTTGAGTATTTTATCTTTTTTAAATGGTGAATATATTGAAGTTGAAATATCCAATGTTTAATTTGCTTAAAATTGTAATTGATTATAAATAAAAAATTTGCAAGATGATAGATTTAAAAAAAAAAAAAATCTAAAAATGTGTTTGGATGGGAAGAAATTTATGAAATATTTTTTCCATGTTAAATATAATGATTTTGAAATGACGTCAAAATTAAAAGAATTTGAAATTCCTCTCATACTGTCAAATTAGTTATTTATTGTTTTAAATTTTACAAGTTGATTCTCATATTTTTTTTAAATTAAAAATTGACTCCCAAATTTTATATGATACAGTTTTTCTTCCCCTTTCTGTTCCTTTCTATGATACATACATCATCCATCATTCTAAATTACAGCAATAAGAGTCAAGGCAGAGAGATATGCTGATTTATGTGGCCTATAGATAGAACCACCATCGACGCTAAGCTGAATATCTCAACCAAATGTCTCTAAAGAGGAACTAATCATCATCTGCTTCGGTGGTGAAGTCGGGTTCCTCAGGCTTGCGTAGCTTAGGCAAGTCGTCTTTCATCTTTAGTGCTCCTCTACGTGTGTTAGCAGCAAACCTTGAAGCGAGAATTGTGACTCCGAGATTCATTTTAGCCTGAGATGAGTTTGAACCAGTAGGATATTCCTCTTCGTGTTCTCTCTCAGTTGCCTCTGTCTCGTCTAAAGGAAGGGATTCCCTCACACCGAGATCTTTGGCAGACATCCTTTTCTTATATCGACGCCAAGCAGCCTGTATAAAACAGGCGGCCCAAGTCCTCCAATGGTGAGAGTAGAATCGAAAGGTGTGCTGCAGCTTTTTGCTGTGGAGGCGCCTAAATTGATTTGCGACAAACTTTAGGTCTTCAGCTCGAAGAGCAAAAGCTTCAACCTCACTTAGCGCTTTAACTGTCCTGGTTGAAGACGGCAAATTCATGGTTGATTTTGGAAGTAGTGCCCAAGAAAGTAGTTCCTCCCCGCAAAAATCTCCAGGTCTCAATATGATTGAGTTAAAGAAACCGGTCCGGCCACCATTTGTCGTAGAACTATCTAATCTGCCTCTAATAATAAACAACATTTCAGTTACAGGGTCACCCTCACGAACAATGTAGGTGCCTAGAGTGCTTAGAGAAGACACCAGCCGCTCACATATCGCATCAAGAAGCTGATCATCCATTTGTGAGAAGAAGGGAACCTGAAAATGTACATGCAACTAAAATTATGCTCCAAACTATGGACAAGAGCAAAGGAGAATCCATACAGAAAATGTACATGCAAGTGAAACATGACGGCTCGGCTACACTAGGATATAAGATTCTACAAAAGATTAAACAACAGGAAAAAAAATCATACTCGTCTAACAAGGTCTAAGCATAGGTGGCGTTGGATATCACGACGAAGATCAGTTGGCAATGAACGTAGAATGGTTTCTTCATCAACACCACGGGTTGCAAGCCATTTATATTGAACAAATCGTCTAACACGAAATCTCAAATCTTCAGGAAGTTGGCGATGTCCCATCCACTCCTCTGTGTCTCTTCGCTTTAGCCTCCACTCCTCAAGCCTTATAGTAATTGATTGTAAATATGTCTACACCAAAGGAATCACCCCAAAAGAAGAATCAATGTAAAGAACACTAGTTTAACAAAGAACTTTTCTAGGAAATCAATAATCCTAACAAATCTATAAGAAAGCTAATAAAAGAAACAGGAGAGAAAGTATAGAGGTTTATCACACTTTCATATATTTTAGATAGGAAGGCCAAAACAAAATATCTAGAAATACCTGCATGTTCCCAATCAAATGTGCAAATAATACAAGACCCAAGATGGCAATCACAATAGCGAATGACGTTTCTCCAATAAAGGTGCTTGTTTCTAGGTTCTGTCCATAAGAACTGAAACAAAGACAAATAATAACATTATAAATTTATATTAATATATTGTTAGTTTAACTATTGTTAGTAGTAATTTATGTTTGTACCTTTAGTCAAACCCCTCTATATAAAGAGATTAGTGCTTATATACCATTTTTACCGAAATATAGTGTTCAATTTTAACATGGTACTAGAGCTCTCATTTGAGGGTCTTGCTTCCGCATAAAAAACCCCAGCCGCCTTCATTGTGGTTCTTATAATATATTGCGGTTAATAAGGAAATGTATCAAAGGTTAGGCCGAAAATTTATATACCTCTCACAATAGTAGATATGATGTTGCTTTTGATGTTAATTGAGTAAGCCAATTCATGCAGTGACCAATGGAGAAGCATTTACAAGATGCGCTCCGAATTGTGCAATATTTGAAAGGAACGCCTAATAGAGGAATTTTGGTTGAAAGAAATGGAAGTGTAGATCTTGAAGCATATATGGATGCTAACTATGCAAGGTCAATTGTGGATAGGAGATAAACTACATGTTATTGCACTTTTTTGGGTGGAAATCTTGTAACTTAAAAGAGTAAAACACAAAATGTGGTATCCAAATCTAGTGATGAAGCAGAGTTTAGGGCAATGGCATTGAATTTAGGGCAATGGCATAAGGGATATGCAAATTATTATGGCTGAAATTGATCTTAGACGACTTGAGGATAAAGTGTGATGAACTAATGGGACTTTATTGTGACGATAATTCGACTATTAGCATAGCCCACAATCCAGTGCAACATGATAGAGTCAAACATATTAAAGTTGACAGACACTTCATGAAAGAAAAATTAGATAGTGGTCTTATTTTGCACTTCATGTGTCTCTTCCCAAGACAACTTGCAGATGTTTTAACAAAAAGGTTGAACAACAATAACTTTGAAAGAATTGTTTCCAAGCCGGGAATCATAGATATTCATTCCTCAACTTGAGGAGGAGTGTTGTAAATAATTAATATTATACTAATGTTATTTTTACTGTTGTTAGTAGTAATAGTAGTAAATGTTTGGTCCTTTAGTCAGACTCATTAGGTAAGAATACTCTATATAAAGATATTAATGTTTGTATACTATTTATACCGAAATATAATATTCAGTTTTAACAATAACAATGATAATCATAATCATAATCATAATCATTATTAAATGAAAGGCATCAACAAACAATGACATCTATCATCAGTGAGAAATGTTAAGTTTAAGATAAAACTACCATTTCCTGGCCATAAACAAGGCTTTAAACTCTGCTGCTTAGAGCCATCGCCAACAACATGCACTCAATGCATATATCCAAAGACAATACAAAGTTGAGTTCCACGACAACTTTTTTTCTGCCAATTGTTTGGGAGTTAATGTACAGAACACTCAAAGCTCTATTTTATTTGCTATTTGGTGATTGATGCACAACATGTGTAGTTTAGAGGAAGAAAGGGAAAGAAAAGATGGAAATAAGTTAAGGGAGGAATGGGGGCTAGGGGAAAGGGAAATTGAGGAGAAGAAGAACCGGTTAGGCAACGTTTTTACTTTTGAATTGTATTATGTGTAAGACAAGTTGTTCTTCGACTTATTGAGTAACAAATTTCAGGCGCCATCTTCACATAATAGGGTGCTGGACATAGACACTGCTATGGGGTCTTACGGAAATGTTCTAGTAGGCTTTAATCATAATAGGCCCGAGGTTCGGAGAGCATATGAACATAAGAAGAAGGATACTGCTAAGTGATAGCTGCTGCCAGATCAGCAGTTAGCTAGAATATTCCAATATAATGATTAGGGGGAGTGTGTGGATCATGCATGTATTCTGTTAGACCTATATATATTCTTGTGTGAACTGAGCTAACTAAAGTATGAAATTGTATTATATCATGATTGGCTAGTTCGAGTAGTGCTATAGTAATACTTGAACTACATTATTACTATTAAAATGAAGGAAATCAAAAAGTGAACATCGGCGTGAATTAATCAAATGAGCCTTTGTAAAATCAAATTTCATAACATAATACGGGAATACCGTGGCATACCTTAATTGCTGCAACCCCCACCATAAACAATATAAGTATTTTGATATGAAGTTTGAAGAAACAACATGCTTTGTTAATGCATTTTGGAATAATCCATACTTGAACGGAATGTCATCATTGTTGGGGTCACACCTATTAAACACATCCGTACTATTTGCCCATATCTTGCGCATATCATTGTTCAAAGAACTGCAGTCTAGGTAGAGAAAGCAACTATGAGGGTTATCTTCCTTTTTGCATACAGATTTCCAACAAGTAGTATATCTGTCAACAGACAGAAGATACCAGGATGCCCCTAAAACCTAGCAGAAAATTAGAGGATCAATAAGTTTCGAATAATTCAGATAACATGAGTGCGTGCGTGAGGGAGCTTTCAAATAGTAGCATTAAATCAATCGACACTACGTACATGGCTAGCCAACATGTACAATAGCAAATTATATGCAGCTCCTGCCCAAGCAGTCTTTGTAACCACTCCTGTTGCTTTGATTATTTGAGAGCTTAGTGGGAAAATCAAATATAATCTTGGAACATATTGGAGCAAGACAATCAACGCAAGAGCATTATTCTTGTGATCAGTCTGAGGGGTCCTTGTGGCTGGTATGATAAACCAGATGACCATCTGAAAAGAAAAACCAAGAAGATATTATCAATAGACCGCACCCCTTTAAAGGAATTTTAAAATTTAATAAACAACTCTGAAATTGTATTGAGATTAAAAATGAGAATAAGAATTGCAAGCTTAGCTTGCAGAAGGCCCAGCAGGTTAAATGTCAAAGCCGGTGTTGTCGATGGCAGACGCCGGTCCATGGCGGAGAGCCAAAATCCCACTGTTATAGCAGATTATGGCAGAATAACCCGCAATATTGGCCATTATTTACCACTGCGGCCAATGATCAGCGCAGCCATCCCAAAATATAGAACGGAACGGGCGTTATTTTAGTAACCGGGTCACTAATATATTTACTACTAACACACAAATAATTGTTAAAAACTAAAATAAATTACTCAAAATTCATGAAAACATTCATAATTAGAAATAAAAACCATAAATCTTAAACAAAACATAGTTTCAAATGTCAATAAAATTTACAGAAACAAACACTTAATTAAAGCCTCTAATAAAAGTTCAAGCATCATGTGGAAAGTTAGCTGAGAAGATGAATGGAAGCAAGAAGGAGAAGAGGAGCATACAGAGGCATGTGTTGTAGATTCAAAAGTTCCTGAGAGCTGTACGCAGGAATGCTTTTTTTTAATGTTAAAATGTCAAAAATAGCCTTCTCAGCATTTTAAAATAAAGGGAAAAACCAGACACGCGACTGTTCCAAGCCGTGTCATCACCGTTCCGTGCCATTTCCATTACCGGTTTCTCGGCCATTCTGGTGGTGTCGCCCGACTGTACTGTCCGTTCCAGCACGGCCTGACGCGTTTTTGGCCACTGTGCCGTTCCGGCCAAGTTTAACAATGTAGATTGTGGCGAGCCCAAAGATCGCCATGTATATCCACCATGGTGGATATTTAATAACACTGGTTAAAGCTGGTATGTTTTCTGGGCCGTCAAATGAAAACCAAACACTAGTCTAAGTTCATGTAATTGCCGGCTCAAGGAGATCACGCGTTTGACTACGTTACTACGAATGTTTCAACCTGCTCATTTCATTGCATTCTTAGTTCTGAATGTTAGTCCAAGAGGGGATAAAGGGGTGAAAACTAATACAACTAGGTTCTGCTATTACTCAAATGCATAATACATTAATCAGTGAACAATGTCATCACGCACAAAATTCCAAGGGCTTAAAAAAATGCGTCCATTGTTTCCTTAAGATAGTTTTTCAGCAAAATATTTTTCTCAATTTACTTGAATATTACTGCGAAATCAAAATTGATTGCCAGAGAAGTATGTAGTATGTTGGTATTCGTTATACAGAATGAAATGATGCCAAGGATAAAACAACGAACCTGTGGTAGTGGTAGTGTGGCAATAAAATCAATGAAGAAATCAGATCTGATGTATCTCCTTGCAATTTTACTTGGGTCCATGACAAGCTCACCCCTTCCAAACACCCGTGAGCTCGGTGCCACATACGCCGTCCTAAACTTAATCATGATGTGCAACAGATAAAAAGCATCCGCAATAGTCCGAAGAAAAGTGACAACAATCCTTAACATTAGGTCAGTCCTCACACACGAAGACCCTATAGTTTCTACAACACTAGGCAAATAAAAGTAGAGAGGATCAAGAAAAAGCGCCACCAAGCAAGAAACTATAAAGACCCGGTTCCATTTCAAGACAATCGCGCTACCCGGGTCAAGTATTCTTTTTCTCCACGGCTCATGGTCCTCAGGGAATACCTTAGATCCTCCTATTTTATTTTTACCTAATGGAAGAACATTGGTACTAGGTTTAAGCAAGGAAGATGATGAAACCTTGTATTCAATCCCTGAAGGTTCTTTATGCTTTTTCCCATCGGAGTAAAACCTAAAACCATAAATTTCAATATCTTATTACATACACAGCATCACAATCAAATTTGCTTACAATCCTAGGATAATATTTTCCACACAACAAGTTTCATGCATCATTGAGGAAGCTTCAAGCTCCAATGATTATGAACAGATAAACAAATAAATAAACACTAGCGAGGAGAGAGAAAGAGAGAGAATTTGGATAGTACCTGACAAGCTTGCCCTTTTTCAACTCCATGTGAATTGGATCTTCTAAAACCCTAACATGATATGAGAATCAGAGTTCAAAAACAGAGAAGGGATCTTTCACTTTCAGTGATGATGATGAATGAAAGCACAATCTGAAAAAGCTCAGACGACACGAGAACAACGCACTGTAGAAGAAACAAGTCAACAATTGTTGACTCCGACAACTAAATTTTAAGAAGCAAGGAGCGTCTTTTTTAAGACAAATTCATGTCTTGTGTCTTTTCTAAATATGTTTGTTCTAAATTTTTTACTATTTCACTAGGAAATGAATTATCCTATTATATAAATTTGTTTTTGGCTAAATATTATTTTTTAATAAATAATCAAATTTATATATAGGTAGATTAGAAATTTGTATATATATTATCAATAAAAAAACATTAATTTATCATATCATCAAAATAATTTTAAATATATGTGTGAATAGATGGAATACACTTCCTTGTTTTCTAAAAAATATTATATGAAATATTATTTAATTAAATTTTTTATTAGAAAATTTTTAAAACTTTTTTGTACATTCTTTTAAAACAAAAATATACAATACAATAAAAATCAATTTTTAAAAATCGAAATAAATTATTCAATTAATTTATAAATTTATTTGTGTCTCTTTATTTTTTTTTATTTTAAATAAGGGTGTGAGTCCGTAGGTATGGTTTGATTTTGAGAGAATTCAATGATCAAACCAATTAAAAATATATGGATTAGTTTGGATTGGATTTGTATTTTTTGTTGTTGTTAAAATCCAAATCGAATTAAATTAAAAAACAATAAGTTGATTTGAGTTAGATTGCTCGAATACATTAGAAACAAATGTGCAAAAATATTTTTTTTAATATTTAATTTATATCAACTAATTTTTTTCATAGTAATATAAAAATCTAATTCTTTTTTGTTTCTCCATAGGTTGTGAATTGTGAATGACATTTTATTTATTTTTTCTTGCAGCTGAATATCGTATATTACTTTCATGATAAGGATATAAATTACATGAATTAATATGATTGCTTTCCAGGTAGACGGGCTCGCGGGTAGAATTTTAGAAATTTGTTGTCCAAACCAATTAACATTGAATTTTATAGGTTTGGTTCGATTTTTGCTCGAATTAAAAAATGCACAACACAAACACCATGTTTTTGTTTGGATTCTTGTATGGTCCGAATTTGCCTGAACTAATGAACGCCCTAATCTTATGTAAAAGTAATAACAAGTTAAGTAGCCATAATTTAAAAAAATATATATATATAAGTACATCTCAAAATTATTAGACCTTGTGTAAGAAGTTGAAGTTAACTTTATTTTAATTGTGAACTTTCTAAAGGTGTTATACCCCAAATTTGTCCTACCTTTGTACAACCTCCATTATGTATATTTACCATTTCTATATTCAAAAAAAAAAGTCCAAAAATATGTTGTCATTATCACTTGAGGATGTCAGGTCAGAAGTGTGGATAATATTGAAGGAGGAATGGTTCAGGTCACCTGGTTGAAGCCAATTTTTGCATAATTTTCAGTACAGTGCATACTTGAAGGTATTGTTTTTGATATCAAGGCATTATTTCTTGATTTCAAGGCAATATGGCTTTTAGTTTATGGTAATACGATTCCATACCCTTATTTAATGTCAAGTTTGAAGGTGGATTTATTGTGATTCTCTCTCATTATTCAAGGCCAATTTGGTTTATGATCATTAGTCTTTCTCCATATTCATTCAAGTCTCATTCATCTCAAGTGAGAGCCAAATAGATGGAATTTGAGTGTGTGGTTCAAATTTGAAGTAGAAGTGCAAGGATCGATTAATACGAAGGATCAATTTCATTGATATTAAGGTTTAATCAAATTGATAATGTCAAAGTCCATTTTTTATATTTAGTTTATCACCAAAATTCTACAAGTAAATGGCCCATTACCATTTTGTTTAAAGTATTGTTATTACAAGGCCCATGTAGCAAGTTCTTTCTACAAATTGGCTAAATCCCATGTTTCATCATGCAAAGCCATAATACCAGCGGTGGGACCAAGTTTCTAGTGATCCTCATGCACCTTTGTTATCGCACGTTAACAGTATGTAACGAATTCCATAAACGGCAACATTTGATATCACGGAATTATGTTGAAAATTTGTATGGCCTAAAATCCAACAACAGTTACAAAAAAAGGTTCTATAGCATGGCCTAATACAACATTGTTGTTTCTCAAGATGACTCCCTCTCCATTTCCATCTCACTGAGGAAACGCAAGCTTTATTGACAACGGAGCCTTCAATGTTACGGATGATTCTCTTGGCTGGGATGTGGTTTCTTTGTATTTGTCAAGCTTGAAACCCGGTAGCACAACATTACGGCATTCGGTGATTTGAGAAACTTGCAATCCACCTGAAAAAAAATATAACAGTATCATGGCAACATGCCAAATTGCATACACACCGAAATTTTGAAAAAATTGTGTTACCGCAACCTGCAGAACATGTCGCAATAATGCCTTACAACATGAGACTTAGGGCTGGAAAAAGGGTTTTCTCTTGAGGAATTGAAGGATGCTGGCATTCCCAAAAAAAACTTGCCGATAGGATGCTGGCATTCCCAAAAAAAGCTTGCACGACCTATCGACATTTCTGTTGATCATCACCGTAGGAACAGATCATTGAAGAGTCTGCAAGCCAACGTGCAGAGGTTGAAAAGATACAAGGTTAAGTTAGTCGTCTTCCCAAGACGTGCACGCAAAGTTAAGGCTGGTAATTTTACTCCCTGAGGAACTTGCAAATACCACACAGGTTCAAGGTTCATATTTGCACAAAATTACAAAACCTGCACAAACAAAAAGAAAAGATACGGTGCACGATAAATGCTTGGCTGCAATGACAGTCACAGAATTGTGGAGAAACCCATGGATTTTCCCAAACTACCAGCCCATGAATCCATCATCAGCACAATCCACGCATAATAGCCGCAAGTCGACACAAAGCGCTGCAAGATCAAGTATCAATAAGTCAGCTCATTCTTGAAAAAAAAGCACATGATGGTTAGAAGCAATTATTGACAGCAACAGGGTTTGATTCACCATGATATCCAATTGTTTCAGTTCACAGATTCACCTGTTAAGAAAAATGAAGGCAAACCTTTTGTGCTGCAAGACCAATTCAAAACCATCATGACCCTATTCTCCAAGTGGTGAATTCATAGTATTGTCGGGCTGTCGCGAATTACAGCAGAGTCATCTTGTGCTTCGTGCGGAAAGACAACGGTAAAGGTGAAATCCTAGCCTTCACGTACGTTGAGCCATCACGCACTGTGTAATATTTGGAACAACATACCTTCACAACCAGTCCAAGAGAACGCACGTTCTGGCGCAAGAACTTGTGATGTTTCAACTTCCACGTAGCTAACTTATGCGCATCGGTTTTCCTTCCATACTGTGCTCATAGTCAAAGCCTGAAAATAGTGAAACATTTGTGATGCTAACAAAATTGGTCCAAAGTGATGAACTTGCACAATAATGTTCAGCTATAAACCTGCTAAAGTGGCAGCTTTCATGAGTGGAAAAACGGTTTTCGCAAGATGAGATTTGCACTTCAATAAATCACGCACCTAGACACCAACCACCTTCATACATATACCTGCATAAAAAGGAAAGCACTTTTAAATTGGTGCTGGATACCAGGAAAGTGTGAGCAAATACTAAGGCTACAAGGACGAGTCATGTAACACATACCGTATCGTTGCTCTCGCTGCAAGTCATTATGCGGTCTAGCCACGGTATCAACACGGGACGAGCATCACCTTGGGACTAAACGCTGTAAACCCGATTCAAGCCTTAAACCTGCATTAGACCAAGCTCAGTGTAAGAGCAGAAGTGTTTCAAATAGCAGATTCAAAGAAAATTGATGTTGCAAAGGATGAAAATATTATAATCATATGCAAAATTGCATTGGCATGCGCTGCACCGTTCCTGAAGGTGATTGGTTTTTTTATGATTGTGTTGTTTCCCGGGAGATTAATGCTAATGATGGATTAGAATTAAACCGACAAGCTGTTGAGTTAACAACTGAGTCTAGTGTAACTGTCTTGGATATCATGAGAGAAGCAGACAGCCACGTGACTAGAAGACCGATGATATCTTCCGCTCGACGGAACATTTCTTTGTTTTCTTCTATTCCTTCAATTGATAGAATGAGTAGATCAGAAGGTAAAAAAAAATCATGACAGCTATGCAGCGTGCGCAATGTAATGTCCATGTGCTCCGTGAAGATTGGAATTCTTTGAGAAGCGGTTCATTGAAGTTCGATAGAAAATCATTTCAATCTGGCGGCACAAGTAGTCAACAACATGATTCTAGTTCTTTATCACGTGGTAAAAGGCTTCCACAGGCTGTCCATAATCCTCTTCCAACAGTCGCGACTTTACGCAGCGCATCAACATGCCTTCGTACATGACTCGTAACTTGTAGTAATAATACTCTTTTTTTGTACTGCAAGCCACCTCCAAGTCTTGGCTGTAACAATTTCCTACAAAACATGAAATCAAAGTGGTGAGATCATTCTTGTAGCAAGTCGTCCTACCATAACACTACCGCAATGCAGTACAATACAGAAGAGGATAACACCAACAGCCGTAGCGTTCGCCAGATTTCTATGAAAACCGTATTGTGTACGCGTCAGAGAGGCTTGCAATGTTTTTCTCTAATATTCGCCAAAACCGTATCCGCAGTATGCCACACACAGCAGTCTGCCCCAGGTTGCTATAGTTGCAAATAACCATGGTCTTAAAGAAGTTGTCAAGCTCCAAAAGGACCCGAGCATGTTGTTGCCGGCATCAGCTATTGTGCAGCAACCATCACGCACTGCAGATACTCCTCTCGCACAGTCGTTGTCATTCTTCAATCATGAATCTCAGGCTCCGACACGCGATTGTTCGACCATCACCGCGGTGAGAAACACGAACGAACACACTCTGCCCTAAGGTGACCATACCTCCACTTGTAACATACCTTGTAAATCACAACCTGTAATAAAAATCAATTCCCATCTGGTGAGCAAGACATATTATCTATGTCATGTGGTATTTGTGGAACTAAAGATTTGTTAATGCAAACAGAAGATGATTCCAGAAGACAAGTAAGAAAACCAGAAGGTGCAAATGCAACTAGAAAATCAGAGGATGTACACTGTTTGTTTGGTGATGGCAACACTATACCTTTAAGTTCTATGTTAGAGAGAAAACAAAGAAAAGGAGTCAAGGATGCCATGCTTGCTCTCCCTCCATATTGAAAAAGGGATCTACATTACCCCATGGAAACAAGCCAACCGTCATTTCTAGCGACAGTGAACCATCAATGTCAAAAGTTGTTGAAGAAGAGACTGCTTTAACTGGTGGTGTGGCTAAAGCTGAACAAGACAAGGAGACAGAAAAGATAGCACAATATTCGGAAATGAAGTTGTCTCATGAACATAAGAAGAAGGATACTGCTAAGTGATAGCTGCTGCCAGATCAGCAGTTAGCTAGAATATTCCAATATAATGATTAGGGGGAGTGTGTGGATCATGCATGTATTCTGTTAGACCTATATATATTCTTGTGTGAACTGAGCTAACTAAAGTATGAAATTGTATTATATCATGATTGGCTAGTTCGAGTAGTGCTATAGTAGTATTTGAACTACATTATTACTATTAAAATGAAGGAAATCAAAAAGTGAACATCGGCGTGAATTAATCAAATGAGCCTTTGTAAAATCAAATTTCATAACATAATACGGGAATACCGTGGCATACCTTAATTGCTACAACCCCCACCATAAACAATATAAGTATTTTGATATGAAGTTTGAAGAAACAACATGCTTTGTTAATGCATTTTGGAATAATCCATACTTGAACGGAATGTCATCATTGTTGGGGTCACACCTATTAAACACATCTGTACTATTTGCCCATATCTTGAGCATATCATTGTTCAAAGAACTGCAGTCTAAATAGAGAAAGCAACTATGAGGGTTATCTTCCTTTTTGCATACAGATTTCCAACAAGTAGTATATCTGTCAACAGACAGAAGATACCAGGATGCCCCTAAAACCTAGCAGAAAATTAGAGGATCAATAGTTTCGAATAATTCAGATAACATGAGTGCGTGCGTGAGAGAGCTTTCAAATAGTAGCATTAAATCAATCGACACTGCGTACATGGCTAGCCAACATGTACAATAGCAAATTATATGCAGCTCCTGCCCAAGCAGTCTTTGTAACCACTCCTGTTGCTTTGATTATTTGAGAGCTTAGTGGGAAAATCAAATATAATCTTGGAACATATTGGAGCAAGACAATCAACGCAAGAGCATTATTCTTGTGATCAGTCTGAGGGGTCCTTGTGGCTGGTATGATAAACCAGATAACCATCTGAAAAGAAACACCAAGAAGATATGATCAATATACCGCATCGCTTTAAAGAATTTAATAGACAACTCGAGTCTATTGAGATTAAGCATCATTCTTAAAGAAAAGAAGAAGAAAAAAAAACTTTCACCTATAGTTAGCCAATGATCCATCTCTTATTTCATCAAATTGGAAATATAACCCTTTATTTACTTTTAAAGCTTAATTAACATGCTACTTTATACATCTTATCAATTTTATACATTCTAGCAATTTTATGTCTAAGACCAAAAATTACCACATCTATTTCCAGAAGGACAAAAAATATGTTGCAAATTGGATTTGTGTTTATTTAACTTTCAACACATATACAATATTCACTAGGGTTTTAAATAAAAATTTGCGACCGCAATTCGGAATGCAACATCACATAGTTTTTGACTTTGACAACAAGACCACAATTGACACCGGCCACATAAGTTGTATTTAAATGTGTTTCTCTACAATATAAAAAATTGTGAGGCAATAAAGATGGTTATGCGACCGCTATTTTAAAACCTAGGTATTAATTAACATGACTCTCATTGTTGTTATCTATCTCCTCTTAGCTATTTGAAATGTCCTTTTTAAGAAATGATTAGCAACTCTATCATTTCTATAACACAAAACCCTCAAAATTGTGTTGGGATCAGTCCTATTCCATTTTCCTGCAGTGGGAGGCATTGGCAACTTCATTCCATTTCCAATCTCACTTGAAAAATTACTCAAATTTTCCATCAATTCTTCAGTATTCATTCCCATTAATCCTATCACACCTTCCACTACCTCACCTTCTTTATCCACAACACTTTTTGCTATCAACTCTTCACCACAATTGTAGAATTCTTGTTTCAAGTATTGAAAGTCCTCTTGAATACTCACATGATCCGACTCGTTAAACATCCTCGTCGTTCCACCAGCAAGCAAAACGAAAAGAAACGCGTGGAAGCACGCCTTCATGATTTCCTTTATTAACGACGGTTGAGCTCTTTCTGTAAGAATTGCTGTCATTAGTTTGATATTATGTTTGAGGATTGTCACGGCATTGTTGATTCGAGCATTGGCGACGTCTCCTACATAGAGACTATCGTAGAAGAAAGAGTTTGAGTCGAAGAATATGAGACGGTAGGAAGCCACTTCCGATAGATGCTGGCAAGCTGCTGAGATGGAGTTGTTAACTGTTTCAAAGTATGAAGTTGATTTTCCTTGAGTGTTGTTGATGTCTGTTGAGCAGCGGAGGCGATCAGAAGGTACTACTCCCTGGGTGAGTGTGAGCGATTTGTCGAGCGATGAGATGTGAGAAAGGAGATAGTGCAAGGTGTTGAGACGAATGTAGAGACGTTGTGTTCCTCGGCTAGTGCATGAATGAGGGTGACTTGATTCATATATTCCATATATGTGTGGATCTTCACAACTAACATTGCAAGGACTAGCTATCTTCCATAGCTTGTGGAACTTTGAATTTCTGTTGCACCTTGTCAATGGTGGAAGAGAAGGAATGTAGTTCTCTTTCAAACCTGACAGAATTTACACCAGAACATAGTTAATCACAATTTGCTTCGTCGTAGTTTTTGTCAACTACAGTAATTCACAAAATATCTAGTAACTTGTGACACAAGTTACTAAATATTTTGTGAATTATGAGTACTTAAAATCGTGATTAGCCATTTTCTTAACTTCTGTTATAAATTCAAACAAGTTTATGGATTTTCTAATAAAAAGTATAGTTCTATGAATTAAGAGTAGTTACCACATGCTGCTATAAACATTGTGTACTCTTTGAAGATTTTGTGTAATCCATCAGCAAGTTCTTGAACTAAATCCTCAGTTATTGCAATTGGAATTTGGAAAAAGTCTTGCACAATTTTCTTGGCCAAATTCACCAATTCCACCACCGATTTTGCATACGGCTCCGACTTAGACTTCGGATTCCATGTCTGAAATGGATGAAAAACAAAAAAACATCTGATAAATATTCTAAATGCATAACATATTGTGTTATGCTCTCTGTAGCACTGACGCATCTGAAAAAAAGACACGACAGTGTTGTGTTTAGGTGTCTGTGCTTCGATCTGTTTCCAAACAAAGAGCATCATCATCATAATCATAAAGGTAAAACTTACTTCAGTTTCTTTTGCTCTCTGCAAACACACATTCGCTTTTTCCAATGATTCATCAATCCATCTTTTCATTAGGTCCATTATGTTTAAATCTACTTCAAAAGGAACCATTTCTCTTACAATTGTTTTGCCACCGTCCTCACAGTCGGCGGAATCTTGAACAACCATTTGAACCAAAACATCTTCTAGCCTTCTAGCCCTCTGCAGCACTAAAATTAACTCAACTGTTATTGTTTTCATCATTTCACTTAGATACTGCTTTAGCACATGCCCATAGCAATTGTTCAGTGTCAATGCTGCAACTGCCCCCGCTATCGTGTGCCATTTCTTTAAAATCGGGCTGTAAGTTCGTCTCTCCTTCATCGCTAATTCTTCAGTATCCTTAGCCAAATCAAGCATAACTTCACTTATGTCTTGCTTTGTTTCAGATTCGGTGGATTTTGCATTTTCTGCTTCTATTATCTTAAATCATAAAAGAGCAACAAAAACATCATTAGATCGTTTTAGATTTGACTTCAATAATTATAAAAAGTGTGGTTAATGGAGAATACAATCACATACCATTTCAAATGCGTTTTTCAACGATGAACGGATATAACCATCAACGCGTTCGGCAGAGAAATCTCCTTTGTTTTGCCAATCTCCATCAGATATTGTAACATCTCCTAAAATTTTGGATGCCAACAACACCACAGGAAGAAGGTTTTCGATTTGTCGAATAGACTCTCCTTGGAAATATGCGTGGTAGTTAAGTAACCTCTTATCAGCCCAACTCTGCAACGAACCGAGTACCGATTTCAACATATTAACATACAAGGCTTCCTTTTCTTTCCTAGCATCATTTGCAACTTCATTGAACATAGTGTGTGAGGCACAAAGAAGCTCAGGTTCTCTCTGTCCAGTTGCTACATATTGTTGAAACAGTGTCCACGCGAAGCACAAATTGTGAATCGGCCTATTGATCCCGAGTGTCGACCAGGTTTTCTTCATTAATTCGAGTAACTCGTCGACTTCGTCCAGGACTAATGTTTCGTCTTCGAGATCAAAAATGGATTGAAGAAGGGAAGTGTAGAGGTGAACATTGACAGGAAATCCATTAGCCCAATGGCAGACATTAGTCGGAACACCGTCTGGACTTCTCATCGACAGGGAAACCACTGAGTTGCTAAAGGTTCTCATTGTTTCCGAGTTCTTGCTCGTGTCTATCGGTTTGAGTTCACCACTACGGATTATTTCCTTGAGATTCATCGCGAATGTGTTAGTCTTTTCAACCGGAATTGAAGGGTGTAAGAGGAGCCCCGCTTCGAGGATCTTGAGCTGCCGCTTTTGCCACAAATGGTACTCATGAGGGTTATTGAATTCGGAAGGTTTGAGGTGTCGAAGGAGTTCCAAAGGGAGGATGATAGTTTCGGCTTGCCGACCAAGCTGCAATTCACATGTTTTAGGATACCAATAAATCATTAATGATATTTTTCGTTTATACCTTATGCATTTATTATTCTCTGTCTTTCAATTCTTTAATCTATTACATTTCTTAATATATGTCAAATAATATATGTCAAAATGTTAAAACTTAAAACAAAAAATGAAGAGTACTTACTTGACCAACAAGGGTCCTCATAAGGGTTTTCCTCAACCGGCTATCACTTTGTTCCGAAACTCCCATCTGTAGCCTCATGACTTCCGCCATAGTCATTATCCGCCTCGGCAAAACCCGAGGGCGCGGGCTACCTTCTGCCACGGGCGACGGAGGCGATGACATCGACATTGTCCAACTGCCTCTCATCGCCATTCTCTGAGACAAAGAGCTTTTCAAAATCTTCAAACCAAGCGCTCTTTTCGTCCTACTTGTCTGTGCCACCGGACTACTCGGGCTCATCCCTCCGACGCCGCTGCTTTCATGTTTCGAATAAAACGTGAGTGCACTCCGGCCACCAAAACCGGGGCAAGATCTGCACGCGGTGAAGAAAACTTCGTACGCGGTTTCTCTTATATCATCGTCGTCGAGAAACTTGATATCGTAAAACGGCCATATGAGACCGTTATTGTTGTCGTGATAGTTATCTTTGTTGCGAATATCTAGTCTGCGCTTGAGGAGACGGTGGTTGAGATTTTTTGAGGAAGACGTTGAAGGAAGGAGAGATAGATCTGTTGATTCATGATACGGCGAAATGGGGAAAGGAAATGGACTCGGACATGATTCACGTCGATTATGGTAGAGAGGTAATGGAGGTTCGGAAACGGTAGAAGACGAAGGTGACGGGAGGGTAGGAAAAGGACCTGGATATGAGTCACGGCGGTAATGGGAGGTTGTTGCGGGAGGGGAGTTTGGAGGGAAAGAAGGTGGCAATGAGTCACGGCGGTTGAGGTTGATATTTCTGGTGCAGTCAGGGGAAGGTGGTCGTGGAGGTGGTGAAATGGAAATTAAAGGAGACGATTCATGGCGGGTGTGGCGGTGGTTGTAGGGAGAAGGGACAGAGATTGTGGGAGGGAAAGGGCTAGGGGAGGAGTCGTGACGGCGGTTGTAAAGACCCATGTGGTGGTTGCATGCAATTTGTGGAAGTTTTTTGTTTACATTATTTTCTATTATGAATTATGAATATGGTGGAAAAAGAAAAGAAAAAGAATAAAAGAATGAAACTGAGATGATGGATATTGTGATTGTCATCATGGATGATGGATATTGCAATGTTGTTTGTTGTTAGTTAGTTGTCTCTTATTGGTTTTTGTCTTTGAGAGAGATTGAGAAATTAATAGAGAATTTAGGTTGTATCTTATAGTTTTGTTTGGTACAATACTAAATTAATTTCAATTATTTTGTAAAATAACTAAACAGAAAAATGATTTACAATATTTCGGTATAAATGGTATATAAGCACTAATCTCTTTATACAGAGGGGTTTGACTAAAGGTACAAACATAAATTACTATTATTTTATCTTTATGGAGTGAAATCAATACTTATATGTCAAATTAGTTATTTATTGTTTTAAATTTTACAAGTCGATTCTCATATTTTTTTTAAATTAAAAATTGACTCCCATATTTTATATGATACAGTTTTTCTTCCCCTTAATGTTCCTTTCTATGATACATACATCATCCATCATTCTAAATTACAGCAATAAGAGTCAAGGCAGAGAGATATGCTGATTTATGTGGCCTATAGATAGAACCACCATCGACGCTAAGCTGAATATCTCAACCAAATGTCTCTAAAGAGGAACTAATCATCATCTGCTTCGGTGGTGAAGTCGGGTTCCTCAGGCTTGCGTAGCTTAGGCAAGTCGTCTTTCATCTTTAGTGCTCCTCTACGTGTGTTAGCAGCAAACCTTGAAGCGAGAATTGTGACTCCGAGATTCATTTTAGCCTGAGATGAGTTTGAACCAGTAGGATATTCCTCTTCGTGTTCTCTCTCAGTTGCCTCTGTCTCGTCTAAAGGAAGGGATTCCCTCACACCGAGATCTTTGGCAGACATCCTTTTCTTATATCGACGCCAAGCAGCCTGTATAAAACAGGCGGCCCAAGTCCTCCAATGGTGAGAGTAGAATCGAAAGGTGTGCTGCAGCTTTTTGCTGTGGAGGCGCCTAAATTGATTTGCGACAAACTTTAGGTCTTCAGCTCGAAGAGCAAAAGCTTCAACCTCACTTAGCGCTTTAACTGTCCTGGTTGAAGACGGCAAATTCATGGTTGATTTTGGAAGTAGAGCCCAAGAAAGTAGCTCCTCGCCGCAAAAATCTCCAGGTCTCAATATGATTGAGTTAAAGAAACCAGTCCGGCCACCATTTGTCGTAGAACTATCTAATCTGCCTCTAATGATAAACAACATTTCGGTTACAGGGTCACCCTCACGAACAATGTAGGTGCCTAGAGTGCTTAGTGAAGATACCAGCCGCTCACATATCGCATCAAGAAGCTGATCATCCATCTGTGAGAAGAAGGGAACCTGAAAATGAACATACAACTGAAATTATGCTCCAAACATAAGCAAAGGAGGATCCATACAGAAAATGTACATCCAAGTGGAAACATGACGGCTACTATGATATAAGATTATACGAAACTTTAAACAGCAGGAAAAAATCATACTCGTCTAACAAGGTCTAAGCATAGGTGGCGTTGGATATCACGACGAAGATCAGTTGGCAATGAACGTAGAATGGTTTCTTCATCAACACCACGGGTTGCAAGCCATTTATATTGAACAAATCGTCTAACACGAAATCTCAAATCTTCAGGGAGTTGGCGATGTCCCATCCACTCCTCTGTGTCTCTTCGCTTTAGCCTCCACTCCTCAAGTCTTATAGTAATTGATTGTAAATATGTCTACACCAAAGGAATCAACCAAAAGAATCAATGTAAAGAACACTAGTTTAACAAAGAACTTTTCTAGGAAATCAATAATCATTCTAACAAATCTATAAGAAAGCTAACAAAAAAAACAGGAGAGAAAGTATAGAGGTTTATCATACTTTCATATATTTTAGATAGGAAGGCCAAAACAAAATATCTAGAAATACCTGCATGTTCCCAATCAAATGTGCGAATAATACAAGACCCAAGATGGCAATCACAATAGCGAATGACGTTTCTCCAATAAAGGTGCTTGTTTCTAGGTTCTGTCCATAAGAACTGAAACAAAGACAAATAATAACATTATAAATTTATATTAATATATTGTTAGTTTAACTATTGTTAGTAGTAATTTATGTTTGTACCTTTAGTCAAACCCCTCTATATAAAGAGATTAGTGCTTATATACCATTTTTACCGAAATATTGTAAATCATTTTTCTGTTTAGTTATTTTAAAAAATAATTGAAATTAATTTAGTATTGTACCAAACAAAACTATACGATACAACCTAAATTCTCTATTAATTTCTCAATCTCTCTCAAAGACAAAAACCAATAAGAGACAACTAACTAACAACAAACAACAAACATTGCAATATCCATCATCCATGATGACAATCACAATATCCATCATTTCAGTTTCATTCTTTTATTCTTTTTCTTTTCTTTTTCCACCATATTCATAATTCATAATAGAAAATAATGTAAACAAAAAACTTCCACAAATTGCATGCAACCACCACATGGGTCTTTACAACCGCCGTCACGACTCCTCCCCTAGCCCTTTCCCTCCCACAATCTCTGTCCCTTCTCCCTACAACCACCGCCACACCCGCCATGAATCGTCTCCTTTACTTTCCATTTCACCACCTCCACGACCACCTTCCCCTGACTGCACCAGAAATATCAACCTCAACCGCCGTGACTCATTGCCACCTTCTTTCCCTCCAAACTCCCCTCCCGCAACAACCTCCCATTACCGCCGTGACTCATATCCAGGTCCTTTTCCTACCCTCCCGTCACCTTCGTCTTCTACCGTTTCCGAACCTCCATTACCTCTCTACCATAATCGACGTGAATCATGTCCGAGTCCATTTCCTTTCCCCATTTCGCCGTATCATGAATCAACAGATCTATCTCTCCTTCCTTCAACGTCTTCCTCAAGAAATCTCAACCACCGTCTCCTCAAGCGCAGACTAGATATTCGCAACAAAGATAACTACCACGACAACAATAACGGTCTCATATGGCCGTTTTACGATATCAAGTTTCTCGACGACGATGATATAAGAGAAACCGCGTACGAAGTTTTCTTCACCGCGTGCAGATCTTGCCCCGGTTTCGGTGGCCGGAGTGCACTCACGTTTTATTCGAAACATGAAAGCAGCGGCGTCGGAGGGATGAGCCCGAGTAGTCCGGTGGCACAGACAAGTAGGACGAAAATAGCGCTTGGTTTGAAGATTTTGAAAAGCTCTATGTCTCAGAGAATGACGATGAGAGGCAGTTGGACAATGTCGATGTCATCGCCTCCGTCGCCCGTGGCAGAAGGTAGCCCGCGCCCTCGGGTTTTGCCGAGGCGGATAATGACTATGGCGGAAGTCATGAGGCTACAAATGGGAGTTTCGGAACAAAGTGATAGCCGGTTGAGGAAAACCCTTATGAGGACCCTTGTTGGTCAAGTAAGTACTCTTCATTTTTTGTTTTAAGTTTTAACATTTTGACATATATTAAGAAATGTAATAGATTAAAGAATTGAAAGACAGAGAATAATAAATGCATAAGGTATAAACGAAAAATATCATTAATGATTTATTGGTATCCTAAAACATGTGAATTGCAGCTTGGTCGGCAAGCCGAAACTATCATCCTCCCTTTGGAACTCCTTCGACACCTCAAACCTTCCGAATTCAATAACCCTCATGAGTACCATTTGTGGCAAAAGCGGCAGCTCAAGATCCTCGAAGCGGGGCTCCTCTTACACCCTTCAATTCCGGTTGAAAAGACTAACACATTCGCAATGAATCTCAAGGAAATAATCCGTAGTGGTGAACTCAAACCGATAGACACGAGCAAGAACTCGGAAACAATGAGAACCTTTAGCAACTCAGTGGTTTCCCTGTCAATGAGAAGTCCAGACGGTGTTCCGACTAATGTCTGCCATTGGGCTAATGGATTTCCTGTCAATGTTCACCTCTACACTTCCCTTCTTCAATCCATTTTTGATCTCGAAGACGAAACATTAGTCCTGGACGAAGTCGACGAGTTACTCGAATTAATGAAGAAAACCTGGTCGACACTCGGGATCAATAGGCCGATTCACAATTTGTGCTTCGCGTGGACACTGTTTCAACAATATGTAGCAACTGGACAGAGAGAACCTGAGCTTCTTTGTGCCTCACACACTGTGTTCAATGAAGTTGCAAATGATGCTAAGAAAGAAAAGGAAGCCTTGTATGTTAATATGTTGAAATCGGTACTCGGTTCGTTGCAGAGTTGGGCTGATAAGAGGTTACTTAACTACCACGCATATTTCCAAGGAGAGTCTATTCGACAAATCGAAAACCTTCTTCCTGTGGTGTTGTTGGCATCCAAAATTTTAGGAGATGTTACAATATCTGATGGAGATTGGCAAAACAAAGGAGATTTCTCTGCCGAACGCGTTGATGATTATATCCGTTCATCGTTGAAAAACGCATTTGAAATGGTATGTGATTGTATTCTCCATTAACCACACTTTTTATAATTATTGAAGTCAAATCTAAAACGATCTAATGATGTTTTTGTTGCTCTTCTATGATTTAAGATAATAGAAGCGGAAAATGCAAAATCCACCGAATCTGAAACAAAGCAAGACATAAGTGAAGTTATGCTTGATTTGGCTAAGGATACTGAAGAATTAGCGATGAAGGAGAGACGAACTTACAGCCCGATTTTAAAGAAATGGCACACGATAGCGGGGGCAGTTGCAGCATTGACACTGAACAATTGCTATGGGCATGTGCTAAAGCAGTATCTAAGTGAAATGATGAAAACAATAACAGTTGAGTTAATTTTAGTGCTGCAGAGGGCTAGAAGGCTAGAAGATGTTTTGGTTCAAATGGTTGTTCAAGATTCCGCCGACTGTGAGGACGGTGGCAAAACAATTGTAAGAGAAATGGTTCCTTTTGAAGTAGATTTAAACA